TTTATGGCAAACAATGAACAGCCTGCAGATAAAGGACAAAAGAATTTAAATAATAAACATTTAAATCAGATATATAGGGAAGTAGAAGAAACCTTAGATAAGGTATTACCTTCAAAGAAAGGAAAAAAGAAGGAAGAAGATCTTCCTAAAGATCAACCACGAAAAATGGGTCAAATCATTAAACAAAAGCTAAATAGATTAGATAAAGCTATAGTCGATGGAGAAATAGCTAAAGATACAGAAATTGAACAAACAATTCAAGACCTTAATTGGAGATTAGAACAAATAAATAAAACTTACAGTTATACTCAAGGTTTAACTGAAGAAGAAATAGAAGAATATCTGGGATCAATACAAAAAGTAACAAAAATTAAAGATTCCGACAAACCGGCAGAAACAAGAAGAGAATACTTATATGAAGTATTATCAACACTAAACGAAACAAATGATGCAACGATATGGAAACATCGAGAAGATATAAAAGAACTTCAGGAAGAATATAATAGAGATATTCATGGAATATTAGGAATAACCACTGAAGAATTCAATGATATGGGACTCATTGAACAACAAGCAGCAGTAAGTGCGCTGATAACAGCACAAGCACACTGTAAAGATGAACCTACAAAACAAGCATTATTTGAGAAACACAAAGAATTCTTAGAATCTCAATTAGAAAAAGTAGGAGATATGCATGATGATACAGAAATTCAAGGAAGAATTTATGGAGACGTCATTAATGCAAGAAAAAAGAAAAAACCACAAATATTACTGCCCGATCCAGAAGGAAGAAGTACTTACAAACCATACGAACAATATAATGTGCCAAGAGATAGACAATTTGCCAAAGAAAATGAACAAATTGGAATAAAAATACCACATTCACCGACAGACGATGTATTCTTAGATGAAAGGTTATCACAAATCTCTAAAAGAAATGAAAATATCCCGCAAGGAGCATTACCAAAAGTAACAAAATTCTTCGAAGATGTAAAACAAGGAATTAAAAATAAATTCACATCTAGACCAACAACACCTTCACCATTAAGTCAACACACCATAAGTAGATCGCCCACACCTACTATTGAAAACAATAATAATAATGCATTTAATCGAAAAAGAGATGAAAGAGGTTATACACCATCACCAAATCCTTATGAAAGAAAACAAACAAGATACAAAAGCCCAAGTCTTAGCTCAAAACATACAGATCAAATTTCTAATGAAGAAATAGAGGAAGTAAAAATACTATATTATGATAATGTACATAATGAAGGACAATTCTCAACTTACAGACCAGTACAAGGAACCTTTAGGGGACAAACATATACTACATATGTACCTGAAGCAGTATATCAAGAATTAGAAGAATTCAAAGATGAAGAATTAGAAGAATTAGAAGCAGAAGTAAAAGCAGATTTAGAAGAGTACCAAAATGAAAGATTTGGACAAACAGTTGAAAATCAACTAAAAGAAAATGAAGGAGGATACGGAATAAATGATGATGAAGAATATAATCATATTCTATTAAATAACCTAACTATACGACAAAAAAGAAAAATAATACCAACTATTATTAAAACAAAAAAGGAAAAAATATTTAGTGAAAAAGAAACAGTCATACCTCCTATAACACTAATGAGTATTAAAATATTAAATCCTCAAGAAAAAGGAATAGTAGGGACCCCTATACAATTAGCAGCCAAAGGATTGGCTATACAGCAAGGACGACCTAATGGAGACTACATTCTAGCAATGAATATTAGTGATAAAAATATTCAGATAAAAGAAGGTGAACATATTGGAAACATAGAACAAGTAGATGAAAAAGAAACAATCGGATATGACCCCGAATTTTTTTCTTCAAAAAAATTAGGAGAAACTGAAAAAGAAAGAATAAAATACTACAAGAAAGATGTGGAAATAAAGTATGGAAAATACTTAGAGATGTATTAACAGAATACGTAGATGAATTTAGAGAAAAGCAAGAAATGAGAACTTCCGTAAATAATAACGTAATTCCTGATATTCAATTTATATTGAATAAAAAAGATAACAAAATTCCTGATAATGATAAAAATCAAGGAATTAGAAAATATACTGTAGATGAAGAAAAAATTATTAAAGAACTATGCGAAGATTTAGAGAAAAATGATGTTATATATCCTGGATATAGCGAATGGGCAAGTAATGTACAAATAATAACCAAAAAAGATGAAAGAAAAGCAATAGTGATAGATTATAGAAGACTAAATAAACATTTAGTAAAATTTAAACAACCATTACCGAATACAATGCAATTCCTACAAGATATTAGTAGATATAAATATTATACAACAATGGACTTAAAATCAGCATATTGGCAATTAAACGTACACCCAAAATCACAAAAATATACAGCAAGTAGATTTGGAAGATTTGGAATATACCTTTGGAAAAGGTTACCATTTGGAATAACAACTGCACCAGCATATTTAATAGCAGAATTAAATAAATTGTTCAAACAATTTGATTGGTTAAAAATATATATGGATGATATGACTATAGTAGCGAATTCACCAGACAAAATGAAAAATAGACTAAAGAGGACTTTAGGAATCCTCAAAAAAGCAGGGCTAAAACTCAAGCCATCTAAATGTGAATTCTTAGTTGAAGAAACTACTATACTCAATTGCAAAATTAGGTATAAAGAAATACGAAAAAATGCTAATAAAGAAGCATTAATTGATAATAAAACTATACCATCCAACAAAACTGAAGTACAAGCCTTCATGGGATTCATGAATTACTTCCGACCATACATATTAAACTTTGCTGATATAGCAGCACCATTATATGAATTAACCGGAAATACCACATTCAAGTGGACAAATGAATGTCAAATAGCATTTGACAATCTTAAAAAAGAAGTGAAACGAAATATATATCTTTCATATCCAGATCCAAACAAACCTTTCTTTATGGAATGTGATGCCTCACAAACAGGCATAGAAGCAATACTATATCAAGAAGATGAAGAACGAGAACATTATAAACAAACTGAAAAACGACTTAGAGAAGGACTTCTAAAAGAAGAACTTAAAAAAGACTATGACAATCCACCGGCCTCAAATAGACGAATCATAGAATTAGGATCAAAAGGCTTAAGTCAAACACAACAGAATTGGCCTACAACGCAAAGAGAAATGTATGCAATATACATATTCTTAAAACAATGGTGACACTACATCGGTAATCAGGAAATACACATTTATACTGATGCAACTGGAATATCTGCGACAAAGAAAACAACTGTAACAAGCAGAACAATTGAAAATTGGATAATGAATTTACAAGAATTCAACTACATTATACATAGAATACCAGGAGCTAAAAATAAGGCAGCAGATTTATTATCAAGAATAATAAATAATAAAGAAAATAAATCTTTAAAAGATTTAATAAACATTACAATAGAAGAAGAAAACTAATCTGAGAAATAGAAATCAGAGTCATCCTGATCATTAGAGTAACCTATACAATTACAAACATAACGGTTACAAAAAGAACAATTATAATAGGACAAAGGTTTCCCAGTTAAAGGAGAAAAATAAGTACCCTCGAGATGCATACTCTCATCATCAGAATTATTATTACGAGAAGTGCCAACAATGGAGGAATCAACGTTGTTAAAAAACAACTCCTCATTATTATTAATAAAATCCTTAAAATACAAAAATTGAAAAAGATTAGAACCATCCCAACACTCATAAGAAACTTCTTCATACTCAGTAATAAGATCTAAAAAGATAATAAGGGATTAGAATTCGTCCAACATACAACCACAGCAAGTTAGAGGAATATTATCTAACTTACTCCAGTTGGATGATAAACCAATAATAAAACCCTTACCATCATCCCTGGTAAAAGTAGGATCAAAAATCCATACCTCAAGTAATGAAGGATCTAGAAAAGAATTGGAAATAATATAAACGTCTTGACCATCGTCAGAAGCAGTAACCTCGCCAAAAGGAGGCTTGACTGTGAGAAACTCAGGATCTTCATTCTCATTACAACCAGTAGCTTCAAAATTAAGAAGACGATTGGCTAAAGACCTCAAAGAAATAGTATCATTAGGATAGCAATAATTATCGACAATCTCCTGAAAGGAATGATCCTTAAAAGAAGGATTCCAGTAAATACGCCAGTCAAACAAGGCAATATCTTCACCCTCATCAAGGGCAAAATTTTCAAGAATAACACTCTCCATAAAAGAGCTTATACGCTGAAAAGGACTAACACCATTACGTTCCGAGATAAAAACAACATCATGAAGATATTTAGCAAAAAGATAAGAAACATAGATTATACAGCCCTTAAGCTCAATGCGAAAATGGCTATAATCTTTAAAATCTAATGAAGAAAAAATATCGAAACTAGTAAGAGTAAAAGCCATAATGCTTAAAAAGGAAAATAAAGAAAAGGAGTAAATGGATAAAAAGAATAATTGCTAAATAAAGATATATTAAAGAAAACAAGTATATAAAGATGATTAAAATGAACATTGAGGAAAATGCCTGGAAAAATCATCAAATTTATAGAAAAGAATCTCGAAAATAAATCGGAAAAGAATAGGAAATGAAAAATAAAGGAATCCCGACAAGATACGAAATCAAGAAAATCTTGGAAGAAGAATTCGAATGTATTCTGTACTTGCAAGCAAACAGAATCATTA